TTTTAAATTGATTTGTAGGTGTGCTTGAAGGCATCAAGTGTACTTTGGTACCTTGATAGCGGATGCTCCAAGCACATGACCGGAGATGCATCCAAGTTTTTGCAAATCAAACCAACTAAAGGAGGAAACGTTGTCTTTGGCGATAATAGCAAAGGCAAGATAATCGGCATTGGTTCGGTTGGTAAAAACGAAACCTCCTCCATTGATAATGTTTTGTTGGTTAAAGGTCTTAAACACAATCTCTTGAGCATAAGTCAATTGTGTGACAAGGGAAATCGTGTGACCTTCGATTCTAAATCATGTACGGTAGAACGTCTTAGTGACAATAAGACGATTCTTCGTGGTGATAGAATTGATAATATTTACATGGTTAACTAAGATGAATCTCCCTCCGACTTTGCCAAATGTCTCATGAGTAAGGAGGACGATATGTGGCTATGGCATCGTAGAGTAGCTCATGTCAACATGAACCTTTTGAATAAATTGGTTTCACAAGACTTAGTAGTTGGTCTTCCGAAACTCAAGTTTGAGAAGGACACCATTTGTGATTAATGTCAAAAGGGCAAACAAGTAAGGGCCTCATTTAAATCGAAAAATGTTGTGTCTACAACAAGGTCCCTACAACTTTTGCACATGGATCTCTTTGCACCATCAAGAACAAAAAGTTTTGGGGGAAACTATTTCGCCTTTGTGATCGTTGATGACTACTCTCGATTCACATGGACATTATTTCTAACTCATAAAAGTGAGGCATTTCATGTTTTCAAAACTTTTCTCAAAAAGGTTCAAAATGAAAAAGGCTTAACCACCGTAGCCATACGAAGCGATCATGGTGGACAGTTCGAACGATATCTCTTTACCGAGTTTTGTGACGAACTAGGCATCGAGCATAACTTCTCCGCTCCACGTACACCACAACAAAATGGAGTGGTGGAATGTAAAAATCGTTGTCTCGAGAAGATGGCTAGAACTATGCTTGATGAGGAAAAAATTCCTAAGTATTTTTGGGCGGATGCCGTGAGTACCGCGAGCTACGTGTTAAACCGAGCCGTCATTAGACCGATACTCATGAAAACCCCATATGAATTATACAAAGGAAGAAAGCCAAACCTCTCCCATCTTCGAGTCTTTGGTTGCAAATGCTTTGTTCACAATAACGGAAAAGATAATTTGGGTAAATTTGATGCAAAGTCGGATGAAGGAATTTTTCTTGGTAATTCATTGCGTAGTAAGGCTTATAGAGTCTTCAACAAACGCACCTTAACCGTTGAGGAATCTCCTCATGTTGTCTTTGCCGAAAATGATGCTCGCTCGGCGAGAAGGGTTTCTTGTGATGATCTTGTAGATTCATTGGAGAACATCTATCTCAACGAAAATGACGAAGGAGAAAACTCAAAGGAAAGCCAAGATGTAGAAGGAGAGCCACCCGTAAACGAGGAACAACCTCAAGAGGAGGAAACGCCAATGCCAAGGGCATGGAGGACTTTAAAGAACCACCCTCTTGACAAGGTAATCGGTGATATCAACCGAAAGGTAAGTACTCGTAGCTCTCTTAGGGACACCGTAGGTCACATGGCTTTTGTTTCTCAAATTGAACCTACAACCATTTCAGAAGCAATTGATGATGAACATTGGACCTTGGCAATGCAAGAGGAGCTTAACCAATTCAAACGAAATGACGTTTGGGAATTGGTGCCAAGACCCGATGATCACACCATAATTGGTACGAAATGGGTGTTCCGAAACAAACTCGACGAAAATGGAATAATCACTAGAAACAAAGCTAGGCTCGTAGCTAAAAGCTACAATCAAGAAGAAGGCATTGATTTTGAAGAAACTTATGCACCGGTAGCACATTTAGAAGCTATTCGTTTATTACTTGCTTTTGCTTCATCTATGGATTTTAAACTATACCAAATGGATGTTTAGAGTGCCTTCCTCAATGGTTTTATTCAAGAGGAAGTGTATGTTGATCAACCCCCGGGCTTTGAGGATTTTGAGCACCCGGAGTATGTCTATAAACTAAAGAAAGCACTCTACGGTCTTAAACAAGCACCTCGTGCTTGGTATGAACGTTTGAGCAAATTTCTATAGGACAACGGGTTCAAAAGGGGGAAGGTCGACACTACACTTTTTATCAAGAGTCAAAACGATAACATCCTCTTGGTGCAAGTTTACGTAGATGACATTATATTCGGTACTACTAACGAATCTTTGTGCAAGGAATTTTCAAACCTAATGACAAATGAATTTGAGATGTCCATGATGGGGGAACTCAATTTCTTCTTGGGCTTACAAGTCAAACAAATGAGGGAAGGAACCTTCATTTGTCAATCAAAGTATTGCAAGGAGCTCCTAAAGAGATTTGAAATGGATGGTTCCAAAGCAATGGCTACACCAATGAGCACCTCCGAGCACTTGGACAAAGATGAAAAGGGTAAGGTAGTAGACATAAAGAAATATCGAGGTATGATCGGATCCCTTCTTTATCTTACCGCTAGTAGACCCGATATCATGTTTAGCGTTTGTTTATG